GGTTCGGTTTGTGAGTACTTTTTCTCTCTGGTTTTCCAGACCTACACGAAGTCCCTCCTAAATTCATTCCACTTGTCCCTTTTGAGGGAACATAAGCTGCTTTAATAGTTTTGTTCTGGGATTAAGAGAGGATAATCTGTTTTTTCATAAGATTTGTGCATTTTAAATTGATTGGAACTTCTCACGAATAGAGGCAATGGTTCGCATCCCAGGTATTTGTCTTGAAGAAGAAGTCGTTGCGATCACCGGAACCGTAATTTTATTCATCCGAGCTTTCGGGCTCTTGTTGGAGTCCATCGCCAGGAATAAACCGTCAACGGAAAGCGAGCAACAGTTACTACACTCCTTTTGATGATCCTATCGAGATTTATACTGGCTTCCATATGTAGCATACCTTCTTATAAACTTGAAATTTTTTAAAAGAGCCATGAAAGGACATAGACTAGTTTTCTAGTTTTAACGAAGTTAGAAAGGAGGCAGTTTGAAAACAAATACTGCCTTGACAGGCTTTTGGGAGTTTGTAAACATGCAAGACGGAAACGTTCCCTTCCTTCGTGCGTAAAAGTTCAGAAAAATGTAAGTTCTCCCAAAGTTCATGTTAAAAATGGGGCTTCTGCCGACTGTCGATAGATGGCATACCTTAGGTAATACAGTTCACGGAACAGAAAAGAACCACCGCTAAGTTATTTTTCGCGACTGTTACTAAAATATGTGGCTTGAAAGATTCGTCCAGAAGTCCGCATACTATCGTGCATCGCTCTGTCATATTATGTTGCAGCTGCAGTTCAGCGAGCATTTCCATTTTTAAATAAATAAAAGGCAATTCAGATATTTTTTCACGAATTTGGACAGTCAATGTTACTTCATAGTTATCCACTTGTTGTCCCTGCCCTAAGGCAAATCAACTCCCTTGCTGTCCGGATGAATGAAAGTATTCGTAGCACTGATTGTGGTTCGACGAACTCATGAGGATTTAAGTAGCAAACGTTATACAGTAAATTTTTAACACCTTGGAGTTAAACGCAACCAGAGCACTTTGGTAAATCATGCATTCGGATATTAAATGTCCGATTCAGATGTGCGTTTGTGCGCGCTGTGAGTAACCATTTCCGCTATATGAGGGTTATTTTAAAATTCAGACACAAATTACAGTAAGGCACTAACGATCACACCAAACGATATTTCAATAGAATATAAACGGCTGCATCGAACATTTTGAATGCTGTTAATCATAAAGTACTTTGGAAAATAATACCGTTAATTGTGTGAATTTTCGAGTCTGGTTCCCCTGTTCGCCGACTGAAAAATTAGAGCATTGCTTAAATAGTTAACTCAAAACTATGACTAACACAGGATTTTACGGTGGGTCAGCCTGTAGGAAGATAATTGTCACCCACATTTAATCATGCAGTCAGTGGGGAAAATAGCTGTAATCCGCATGTAATTATGCTGTAGGTGGTGGCTGTTTTTACTTCCATCGGATCTTGAGAGGTTTGTAGTTCACATCCAAATCGATATGCTTGTTGATACACGCCTCATCTGAGTGCATTGCCTCCAGGAATTAGCGGCCCTTCCTAGTTGGGCAGACGCCAATGATTTGGATTTACTTCCATGCAAATGCGTTTCGTGTGTCCAGTCTGTGCATGGCAACTTCAAATAGTTGTTCTCATCTCCTCACCGCTAACTGGTGTTCGTGTATGCGTGTGAATAGAGTTCATCTGGTTTGACCACAATAGATTGCACCACAACTGGTACACGGTATTTTCCGGACGACTTCCTTTCTCTTGAAATGGCCAACCATGTCCTTAGGGTGTACAAGCTGGGTGCGCAAAGTAGTTGCCGGCTTACGCGCAATCTGTATTTAGTGCTTTCGTAGTCGTCTTTCGACGAGCTCAGATTCATATGGGAGCGTTCGCCAGTTCGCTGGCTATGGCGCTTCAATGGTCGTAGATCTAACTGATTAATGATTTAACTCACGAGGTTATACCGTTAATCGCAGCCGGGGCAATGTGGGCTAAATGCGATTTTTGTGCTTTGCAGAAGTTTTGACGAAAATTCCTTTGCCTGTTACTGCAACATGCAATGGCTGCCTGACTGGATGAGGCGAAACCGCCACCGGATAGCCATTTCGCCGCATCCTCCAACCTGCCAATCCCCGCCTAGTCTCGCTGGGGCCCCCATCGCCAGTCTGTCCACAAACCATTTCACCTGCCCGGATCAAGCAATGGAGAGTGCGCAGGAGAACTCCAGTCCTCCCGATGGTGGCCTCCAGGTCGGTCAGACTACACTACCAATGCCGCCGCTGGAGTGTTCAGCTGCTCTGGCCGGTGGCGCCTGTTGTTCCGAAAGGAGTCCCGGTAAGTGGACAAGCCCGCGCCTGGCAGCTGGGTTGTTTTTCTTCCAGTGTTAGACACCTGGGAGTATTAACGTTCATATGTCCTGCTCAGCGTTGCATCTTAAAGAACTTAGTAAGCATGATGACATAA